TGACGTGGCTATGGGGATGTTGCAATAGCGATGACTTGCTACTGTTGAGGAGCGTAGCGGACGCCACCTTTGTTGGTGGTTTTTTTTATTTGATATGTGTGGTTTGCACTGTGGGTGGATTGTTGGTGGGTGATTTGTTTATCAGATCTATTGTTTAGTCGGAGTTTTGGGATGATTGTAGGTATTTTGCAAATGGCGATAATGATTTTCTGATATGTAGGTGGTTTTCTGATCGGTGGTTCTATTGGTGGTGGTGTAGATGGTGATGGTTCTATAATTAGTGGTTCATGCAGTTGTGGTGAGGTTGTGCGCATTTAGCTCTTGACGTTGTTTGAGATGGTGGTGGTGGTGGTGGAAATCGATTGTGACCAAGTCTATCTTTATTGTGACTGTCTGTAACCAGATCCATTTTGATTGTAACTGCACATGACTTTGTTACTGTCTGTAACCAGATCTATGTTAACAATGATTGTATGTGACTTGGTTACATACAGTCACAAATTAGACTGGCATGGTCATAGACAATTAAATTGAAGATAGAATTGGTCACAATTAGTCACAGATAACACATGTCAATGAAAGTAGTATTTGTGATCATGAATTTGAGTTGAAAGTGGCAGTGATGGTGCATTGGAGGTGATGGTGGTGGCGACGGCGGTTGATTGTGGTGTTGGTTCACGGTGTGTGCAGATTTGTTTATGGTGACCGTATGTGACCAAGTACGTCTTTAAAGTGATTGGTTGTAACCAATTCCGTGTTAATGGTGACTAGTTGTGATTTGATTACTTACCGTCACAGTTAAGATTGACATGATCACAGTTAGTCAAGCTGAAAACAAATTTGATCACAATTAATCACAAATAACACAGGTCGGTGACTTAAAAAATTTCTGGGTATGGGAGGGGTAGGGTAAAGAGGTCGATAGGGGTGGTTCCGAGGTGGGGTGTAATCTCCAAAAACTATTTTCAGTTTCTGTAATTTTTTTACAGATGGAGTGGGGTCAGTGGGGATATTATTAATTGATATATTATTAATTTGGTTGGGGTGGGAATATTATTAATCGGGTGAGGACAATTAATTCCAATTAATTATATATTATATATATATTATTAATTAGAATTAACACCTGAATTTTGAAATAATTTGACAAGTTTGTTAGTTTAGGAGTTACGTATTGTTCCCTTTTAACTAATCCATCTTTTAAAATTATAATATAATTAGGCCTTCATGTAGTGTTTTCCAGTTGAGGGCTCTTAAGATTTGAGGCCATAGGCCATTGCCTAGTTGGCTTTGACCTAGGGCAGGCCTTGTCATTGGCGTTGCATTGACACAAAGCACGAACCTTTAAGACCCAAGAGTTTAAAAGTGTCAATAGGACCACTTGGTGTGGTAAGGGGTTGGGTCCTATCTAAATGTCTTAGAATGATGAGGTTATACTTTCAATGTTCCAAACCTAAGGGTGGACGAGCTGTAGGAATATAACCTCATTCATTGACCTAAGAGGAGGCAACATGCTTTCAAATTCACCTAAGAGGAGAAAGTTGTGGCGAAGTATCTTGTTTAGTTGAAAGTTGTGTGGTCTGTCACGTAAATAGAGACATAACAACGTGGTTGATACATAAATATTGATCATTGGTAGCTAAGATAGAATTTTATCAAGAAAATAAGTTAGTAACTAAAAACGATATAAATATTATTAACGAGAAAAATAAGTTAGCAATGAAAAGTTCAAAATTATGAGGGTAAATATTATTAACGAGAAAAATAAGTGTTCATACCTTACAAACACTTGTAATTAGAGAAAGAAAAGGCAGAGAGAATATTTTAGAATTTCGGAGTAACCTGAATTTTGTTTTGTAGTTATATTTGGAGTTTGTTGTTTGTTTTGAAAAAGTCTTGAAGAAGTAGAAGCTATAAAGATTTTGTTGTTTGTATTACATTCTCCTATTATGTTAGAGATTCTTTGATTATAAATATGTGGTGTACAACACATATTTGAGATTAACCATTGTCCAACATACTAGTTTGGTCGAGACAGATCATTTGTAATCCTCCATTATTGATTATTGGTAAATTCTCCTCATTTACCCATGATTTTTTTCATCTTGAGTTTTCGAGTAAATCTTATGCTCTTGTGATTGTTATTTTTGTCTTGTTCATTATCTTATCTTTAACATTCATAACAATTGGCTCAATTTCTAACAAGTGGTATTAGAGCTAGGTTTTACAATTCCTGGGAGAACCAGTTCGATTTCGTATTAAAGTGATGTTTGATTTTCGTCGTCGCATGTATAAAGTCTGATATTTCTCTTTTGGATCACAACACCGGATTTTTGTTTGGACTCTGAAGGAGAAGAAACGTGATCGATTTGTGATAAAGGGGCAGTAAAGGTCCTAGTTATATATCTTGCACGATTCCGTGATCACGTTTGATGCAACTATTGCTAAATTGAAGAAAATAGATGTTAGACCTCAATAGAGGCTTGATGAGGCTGATTTTGGTTGTTTATGCTTTGATAAATGTTGACTCAGGTGGAGTTAATTGTGATCGTGTTACTCGTGGGGATAATTCAAGCAAATTTGTTAACTCGGATGGAGTTGGTTGAAAACTTGATGATTTTGTTGGTCGTGGTGATTCGAGCAAGTTTGGTACCCAAAGTAATTCTGCTTGTAAGTAGTGTCTGAATTCAGTTCACATTTGTTAAATTTATCCTTAAAGGTCTTATGGAAGAGATGGAGTAATTTGTTTAGAGTGTTCTGTTTGTAGAGCTTTTGAAGTTTGTTAGAGAGTTAAATTTTATTCCTTGTAGTAGAATTCGTGCCATGTGGAGATTTGTTAGAATTATGGTGTGACTCAAATTCTATTTTGTAGGTATATTTGGAGTTGGTTGTTTGTTTTGGAAGTGTTTTGAAGAAATAAAAGACTACAAGAAATCAAAAAAATACAAAGATGGATCGGAGCGAAAAAGTCGCAAAATTGCTTGTTGGCCGCTCATTAGGTGCTTGACTGTTTAGAGCAGGATCTTGCCCGCTCGCTATCCGTGAGGGTGCTGCTCAAGCGGTAGCTTTATCTGAATTTTCAGGTTTTGCGATTTGGCTAGTTTTGGGACTCCTGTTTCAACTCGAATACTCCGTTATTGATTTTATCCATTGTATTAAGACTTTACTTTATATTAGATTCTATATTATGTTATATTTTTCTATTGTGTTAGGGATTCTTTGATTATAAATATGTAGTTTATAACACATGATGAGATTAACCAATTGCCCCACTTATTAGTTTGGTTCAAAGAGATTCGTTGTAATCCTCCATTATTGATTATTAGTAAACTCTCTTCATCTATCCGTGGTTTTTCTCGTCATGGGTTTCTATATGAATCTCGTGTTCTTGAAATTATTATTTTATTCTTGTACATTATCTTGTCTTTAATATTCATAACAATTGGTATCAAAGTTATCACCCATTTCCTAATAGAATGAATTAAGCGAACTATCAATTCACACTTGTATGATCTCTGATCTTCAACTTGACAGAAATCGTTATGGAAAATTCAACTAATCATCTAATATGGAAGAAGGTGAATTGTTGCTTATTTGATAAAATTTATATCAACTTGTCAAACTTTAATTTTAACAATACATTTTATAAGACCCCGTAATTTTTGTCAATTTTTTAGCCATATATTATAAAATTCAAAAATATTTCTCCAACATCTGGGCTTTTATATAGAATCGTAAAATGATGTTTGAAAGTGAAGCTTGCACAATATAGAAAGGTTGATAAGAATCATAATATTATAGTGATATTTTTTTGAATAATGCTACTTGTACATAATTATTTACGATATAGAAAAAAAGAGAAAAAAACAATTAGAAAGAGAGACAAAAAAGGAAAGTCATTTAAATTTTAATATATGTCCTGTTTTCAATCCATCCACCAATATTTAAATAATTATTTCCAAGTAGTATTGAAAATTTTTGTGCAAGTAATTTTGAAACATTGACGTCATAATATTTATATGGATAGCGATCAAGTAAAACGCACTAAAACACCTATAATGCAACTGGGACCCACAAAACAAAAGGTGGGTTAGCTCCCATTCAATACCAGCCGCCGATCTAAATCCAATGGTTAGAATGCTAGCATCCACTTAGGTCACTTTGATTCTATGCTACACCATTACTTTCTCTCTGTGTACGTCCCCGACACTCCCTCCCTTCCCCTCTCCTCTCCTCTGCAATGTCGCCGGTGCCGTCGTTTTAATCCCCCCTCAAGAAAATTGACTTTATTAAACGTCGTCGTTTAATCTCCGGTACAGGTCTTTCTCTCTGTACACGCATATATAATTTATATACGTGCAAGTGTGTTAATGTGTGTGTATATGTATTATATACGTGTTACTGTTGTTTAGTATTATTTGCTTAGTTATTACTACGCTCGTGAGCTGACTAGTATGTCATAATAATTCTTCTCAGATGAATTGAACTAATTTTTGATTTTTAATTGAATGCAGATACGACCTGTTTTTAGTTTTTCTGCTAACCGAGAGTCGTGTATTGGAATAATTTCCTTCAATTTGAGACTATTGTATTGAAATGATTATACTCTGAAGAATTTGAGATAGCTACAGGGAAAACCCTTCACCTTACAAAAGGGATAGGAAGACTACAGGTAGTAGTTTTGGTTCTGAGTAAGAGATGCACTATATGCTTTTAGACTAGAAATCAAAAAATTAAGGTTTTGTTTGGAATTCATGAATTTGATATTGTTTTGGGGAGGGTTGGAGTATATTTTTAAACTTTTGGGGTGGTTTTACATGTTATTGCTTGGAATCTGTGATTATGTGAATTTCAGCCTGAGAATCTCATAATAATATCTGTGAATTGTTGAAATTGCTTCAGATTTAACGAGTGTATGACCCCATCAAGGTGAAAAGAAATGCTACACTTGCGTTTATTATTCCAGTGGTTGATATTTGATATGCAACTGTGATTGTGGTATGGATGTAGCAGTGAATGATATTGAAGAGTGGACCATGGGACAACATGGGGGCATCACAGATGATGGAAATGATGAGTCCAATGAGGCTGGGGACATAAATGCTTATGGTGACTCTATGGACCGGGATGGGGTTGGGATATTTCCCGAGCCTCATGTGGGAATGGAATTTGAATCCGAGTATGCTGCCAAGACGTTTTATGATGACTATGCCAGACGCCTGGGGTTTAGCACCCGTATCAACCAGAATAGTCGCTCAAAGACTGATAGGATGGTTACTTACCGGGAGTTCTTATGTTCCAGAGGTGGGTTAAAAAGAAGATCTGGTGATATCTGTGCTGCAATGCTTAAAATAGAGTCAAGGGATCATGACAAATGGGTTGTGACAAAAGTGGTGAAGGAACATAGTCACTCGACTGTAAGTCCTGCTGCAGTGAATCATCTCAAAACACGGAGAAATTTTGCTGCCGCCAAAAATAGTGAGGCAGAAACTCACCAAGGTGTGGATATAATTCCCAGTGGTGTGATGTATGTTTCAATGGATGGAAACCATGTTTCAGCCGAAATCAGCCGAGGCAAGAATATGCCTCCTTCAGAATCCAATCGTATAGTCAAGAACACTGGTTCATTGTGCTACACTTCTGGACATCCCAGTCGAAAAAGGACATTAGGTAGAGATGCTCAGAACCTCCTGGATTATTTTAAAAAAATGCAGTCCGAGAACCCAGGGTTTTACTATGCCATACAACTTGATGAAGACAACCGCATGGCGAATGCATTTTGGGCAGATGCTAGATCGAGAACAGCATACAGTCATTTTGGTGACAGTGTTATACTGGACACAATGTATAGAATACATCAATATAAAGTACCATTTGCTCCATTCACAGGTGTAAATCATCATGGTCAGACAATTTTGTTTGGTTGTGCACTACTTCTAGATGAATCCGAGGCTACATTTGTATGGCTTTTTAAGACATTTCGAGCTGCCATGAATGACCGTTCCCCCGTATCCATAACCACTGATCAAGACAGAGTCATACAAATAGCCGTTTCCCAGGTGTTTCCTGAGGCCCGCCATTGTATAAGCAAGTGGCATGTGTTAAGAGAAGGCCAAGACAGAATGGCTCACGCCTGTATTGCACATCCTAATTTTCAGGTGGACCTGTATAACTGTATCAATACTACTGAGACAATTGAGGAATTCGAATCATTTTGGGCATCAATCCTTGATAAATATGATCTTCAGAGAAATGATTGGCTTCAATCAATATATAGTGCTCGCACGCAATGGGTACCAGTTTATTTTAGAGACTCTTTCTTCGCAGACATATCCCCTAGCCAGGGATTTGAGAGCTCATTTTTTGATGGTTACGTGAATCAACAGACTACTTTACCAATGTTCTTTCGTCAGTATGAAAGAGCTTTGGAGGACTCTTTTGAGAGGGAAATTGAAGCTGATTTTGATACTATATGCACCAGCCCAGTGCTGAGGACTCCTTCACCTATGGAGAAACAGTCAGCAAATCTTTATACAAAGAGAATCTTTTCAAAGTTTCAAGAAGAATTAGTGGAGACTTTTGTGTATACTGCAAATAGGATTGATGGAGATGGGGCTAACGGTACATTCAGGGTTGCGAAATTTGAGGATGACCGCAGAGCCTACACTGTCTTGTTGAATGTTCCAGAAACGAAAGCAAATTGTAGCTGTCAGATGTTTGAATATTCTGGCGTCCTTTGTAGGCATATATTGACAGTATTTACTGTAACGAATGTCCTTACACTTCCGTCCCATTACATATTAAAGCGATGGACTAGAAATGCAAAAAATGTGGCTGTATCTGAAGAGCGTGGCGAACTACAAGGCAACGAGACTCTGACAATACGTTACAACAATTTATGCAAGGAAGCAATCAGATTTGCTGAGGAAGGAGCTATGGCTTCAGAGACATATAATGTGGCTCTTGGTGCTCTTAGAGAAGGGGTGAAGAAGGCCGCTGCTGTGAAGAGAAGTGTAGCAAAAGTTGCACCTCCGAGCTCCCTGGTTAATGGAGTTGGTTATGATGATTGGAGGACATCCACCTCAGCTCCAGAGATGACCCCATTGTTATGGCCACGACAAGATGAAATGATACGTCGCTTCAATCTTAATGATGCTGATGTTGCTGGTCAACCAGTGTCCAATATGAATTTTCCACATATGGCTCCAGTTTCTCTTCACCAAGATGATAATCACGCTGATAATATGGTAGGGAACTTATTCTTTAGCAGCTATTGTTAGTGAAGAATTGTCATATATTGAATGGTTGACAATCTTGACATTAGTTGTTCTTTACTCTTGTTCACAGGTGACTCTTCCTTGTCTTAAGTCGATGACTTGGGTGATGGAGAATAAAAATGCAATGCCCGCAAATAGAGTAGCTGTAATTAACCTCAAGGTATGGGATCCAAATCATTTGATTTTTTTCTCCAAACTGAATGATGTGTGATTTGGTTTTTGATCATTTGATTGTTTGATACTCATTTGTTTAATCTTGTACTCTTATTGTATTCTTAGCAAAATGCAAATGTCTCAGAACTAGCGTGTCATTTAGCAGTTTAAGCTGGGATAATTAATGGCTACAGATATCAATTTTTGAAGACATAAAACCTTAAGAATTCATCACATTGGGTTTACTTGCTATATTTCTGTCTGAGCAGTCACGTCATTGTTGTAAATGCAGATCTTCCGAGTTAATAGTCTCGTATTCTCAATATGTGGATTTAAAAACTTACTTGACATCTTGGTATTTACGAGTTAAGTTTGCTTCTTGCAGTTGCAAGATTACAGTAGGACTCCAGCGGGAGAATCAGAAGTTAAGTTTTCACTCTCTAGAGTCACATTAGAGCCCATGTTGAGGTCCATGGCCTACATCAGCGAACAGCTTTCTTCCCCGGCCAACAAGGTTGCGGTCATCAATCTGAAGGTGTGTAATTCTCAAATTATTCAACCTTCGGTTGATTGTAGTAAGTCCTGATAAATAATATCTTTTGCTAGGAGTTAATTACACTAAATGGCATCTCTAATTTTATTCATTTAAGTTGTGATCCATCCCTGATAAATGGATAATTGTTCCTCCAGTATGGGACCATGAGTTTTTTTCTCGTATATAGAGAATATTATACGTCAGGTTTAGCTCATCCAAGTTGCTACACAGGTTGGTGCTTGTCATCTTTATTTGTTTAGTTACTGTGGTCGATTTTTAGAAAGAGTAACATATTACTGTAAAATGATATTAGTTATACATAATTCGTGTGAACATTGGAAATATAACATCTTCATGCAGCTGTTGATTTTAGATAAAACTATCACATCATTTTATGTGTATTACTGTTATTAACCAACCTGCTAATACTGAGCATTTCTGCTCTCTTATCTTCAGCTTCAAGATACTGAAACAACTTCAGGAGAATCAGAGGTGAAATTTCAAGTTTCTAGGGATACTTTAGGTGCCATGTTGAGGTCGATGGCATACATCCGTGAGCAGCTGTCAAATGCTGTAAGTGTTTTTCACTATAATTATTGTCACTTTTTAATCAAAGATGCAGATAAGTTTGATTAAGCATCTATGAATAAGGATCTTAAGTGATGTTCTCGTGGTTGTTTCAGTAATCTGAATTGGTTATGCTTTTTCATGTTGGGTTTATCGATAATCTAGGCACTCTTCCAGTTTATGATTCTTAGGCTTGTAGATTTGCAGTATTGACATGAACGTGCAGTCTCAAAACTTCTTTTCAAGGTTCATTTTCAAATACAATGGTCTGGCTATTGTCTTGCCTACGTTGTAGGAATTTTCGTAGGACCTTCAAGTCCTATTTTCTGCTTTATTGTTAATCACATTTTTCAAATGCTTTCATAAGCCTGGATGATAGCCTGGTCCATTCGCGAGGCAGCACTTTTATAGAAAAAGATAGTAGAAACCAAATAAAAGCCTTAGAAGTAGGTAGTTGTCATTATTGTCATTACAATACTATCTTGCGTTCTCTATTCCAATTTTACCAAATCTTCTCCCATTGTTTATGTTGTGTATATATTTTTTCTATGGTGTTGTAAATTTTATGTTAGACCGTGTTATGTCTTGTTCCATACCAGTTCAGTACCTTAATAGTTGAGTATATTACCGATCAATTATTGTTGGTGCCGAAGACTAGGAGACAATCATGTATGTATTTGACAATTCAGACACTGGAAGAAACAAACCTCTTTTTTTTTTTTAAATAATATATTATGTTCTACTTTTACACCTCTTAAATACTGGCTGCATATAATTTTTTTAAATTTTATTTATATTTTCCTACCATGTGTGTTTTGATTACCATATGGTTGGTATATACTTTTTTCTGAGCACAAGTTTATCTAATTGTGTAATATTGTTTCTTTAATTTTCAATCCCACTGTGCTCTCACTTTTGATGCTTGTGTTGTTGAATTAATGATCCTTTGTGACTATTATTACTGTTCTTAAATTGTGTGTCATTGCATGTGTGTTTATGTTTTGGAACACTTGCTTTATTCATCGTCATAAATCTGGTATTGTACCTAAGACCTAAGATTTACTGATTCCCGGTACTATATTGTCCAGAATGCGATTCAATATGGCCTGCTGGTACTCTATTTGTAACTATGTTTTTATGCATTGTGACCACAAAATTGCATACAGCATGTTTGGCTAAGCTTAGAAAGGGTACTTCTCTAGAAAGTAAGTATTGTTAGTAAAGAAAATAACTTCTGAAGTTATTTTTGGCAAAAAATAAAAAGCTTTTTTAAGCTTGGCAAAACATGTTCATGGTTCATTAATGACTAATAAAATAAAAGAGTAGCTCAGAGCCTCAGAGCTCGTTTGACTAAGTTTGGGCTTCTGGACGACTGACTGACTAGATTTACTTGTAGCATTGTTTTGCACATTTCATGGACATTTTTTGTATTCTTCTCTTTTTTGTTTTTCCCTTTATAAATTGTCAACAAACTTTGAGATGCCAAGATATTCCACCCTAACAATTATTAAGGTTCATATCTACGTACTTTTTTAAAAGTGAATTACTCAAAGCTAGTTGGATCAAAAGGTACATAGACAGAGATGACAGATTTGTGATTGATCAAATTGGGAACTGTATGACTAACATGTGACATTCTATCATCTCCTAGTAAAACTTTCGGTTACCATTTAAAGCTCTTCCTTTCTCTCTCCTTTTATTTACTTAAAATATCATGGATTTGCATAACTTGGGATAATAATTAAGCAAAATGCTCCGGGAAATGGGTGTTTGGCTCAAGAGTCGCTATAAAGGTTTATTGTTGCCAAACACTCTTCATTAGTAGCAGTAGAAAGAACCAAATTGTATGTGCTCTTCCCTTCAGATTCCCTAATTAGTATTTCTGTGTTTTCCTATATAATCAAGTTAGTTTTCTTCTCTTTCCAAATTCCGAAAATAATGATTACAAATAGAATGTAAATTTTGCCGAATATATAGACCAGCATCCATTATTTAGAACTACAGTCATGCTAGTAAATTTAGAAATCTATTTGCTTTAGAATTTCCAACTTTATCAAGTTAGAGAATAATGTTTATATTTCATGATAAATTGAAGGTTCCTTCTGTCAAACTGATGACATTTTCTTCTGGACATGGATGCCTTCTTTATGGTAGGTTGAGCGCAAACAAGATAATCCAGTCAAAAAGCAACGGAAATAAAGAACCTGTCGTCTCCTCAACCTGAAAACAAACGAGTTAGAAGATCTCCTATAAAATTGTTCATGTCTTTTGTACAGGGTCGTCTTTCTTGCTTTCCAATTTATGCTTGGTCTTTGTTCATTTTTGTACATGTAACTTTATAAAGATCTTCACATTGGGTCTTAAATATGGTCTAGATTGTCTTATGGGGGAAAAAAGTGTATTTGTTTTGTAGGTTTTTTCTATAGGAAAATGATAAAGTTGCCATATCTTGTGCTGGCTATAACAATAAATATAATCATTTTCAAGGCAGCATTAATGTAATGTTGTGTTCTCTAATGATAAAGTGAGCTGAGGTTTAAATATATTGGTGGTCTCTAAACTTCATACTATTTGTTATATTAATCTCTAAATTTCATTCTGCTCCAAATCAGAAGTTGAGCTTAAACCCTTGTTCCATGTTGGTCACTTTGTCCGTAGTTGTCAATTTGATCAACAGAAAATGCAGTATTGGAATTTAGTTTTGCGTCAACTAGACTGTTACTTTAGCTTTTCTACTAGTCAAACTAACAAACATAGGAGTGATCTATTTAAAATACATATCTTGTTCAATGGCCAACTTGAAACACAGTTCGAGTTTAGTGATTGACTTTGAACAAAAATAAAGTTCAATGACCAGTAAAACTTCGCTAAATATTCAAGACTTCTAGTTTTTATTTCCAATATATTAATTATTATTTTTTTGTGAGATTATTGCAAGTGAAAAATGTGGACATGCAAAACTATTTTATTTAGAGTGTGTGATTAAAAAACTGTGCCAAGCAAATGATTTTCAAACAATTCAAAAATAAAAACTACTACAGATAAAATTGTACTACACTACAGTAGCAGATTAGTAAACAATTTCCCCCATACAGCAGTACATACAAAGTATTTCCAATAAAATCTTAATTCTTTGCCAAGCCTAGATATTTTGACGCAAAACCGATTGCTGAGCATAGAAGCAAGCAATTTGCATCTTCGCAGGTCGAAATTAGAGCACTGCAACTGCAAACAGAGCATTCATTCATTTCTTCCAGAATAAAGTGCGGGACATACTCGCCTGTCTAAACCATTGTATAAATCTACAAACTCCTGTAGTCTATGACAGTGACTTCATCTTCCGGTGCATCCAGGTCATTATAGCTGCAAAAACAGCAAAATTTGAATTAAAAAAAAATCCTTTAATGAATAAAGTATGAGAACTTGTGATAATTTCATTATGTGCCAAGACGTACACTGTAGCTGTACAAATCATACACCCACAATTCTATAATAATGCTGGGACTTGTTCAGAAAACTCCATACGTACAACTAATATTAATAAAGCATCATCTCCTTGGTGTTTTCATTTCAGCAGATTTCCAAATTGAGTTTCTAAAAAATGGAAATTCTAGCTGACCCAAACATCATCATGCTTGTATCAAAGGGAGTTTCTAGAATAATGAGGTCCAAAATTCCAGCAGATCCAATCATTGCCACACTTGTAAAGCCGAATTTTCAGCCTTGTTATTTTCTTGTGAACATATGTTCAGAAACAGACTAATTTCCACAATTTCTGTTTGTGGTTCTCTGAGAAAATAGGTGCTTTGCTTTCAACAGATATTTCCGTTGTAATATCCATTATCATATAATAGTATCATTAGCAAGCTTTAAAACAGTAGAATTCTTAAGCCTGACATCAAACAAAGATTAGTTTGTAAGCTGACTGTCTCACGTTTTGCTCGTCTTGGTGAGAAAACAGTCTATCCAACCACTAGCCATCATAATTAACCAAAACAAGGAGAGAGGAGAAGCGTGGAAAACAATTCTGCCAAATTTTATTCTGAGAAAGCATTCAGGCCAAAAATTATTGGATCCCACATGTACCACATCGCTCCATTAGCTAGTTGATGCTAGCAAATCAAGATTACGGTCTATTTTGAGTCCGACTAAACTTAGCCATGATAATGCAGATTAAATTTTGTTGGATGAAGCTTCAGGCCATCTTTAAATCTCAAAGCCTGTGTTTGAATCCTTATCATCAAGCCAAATTTCAAAATCTACCATGCCCTTTTTTACAATGTAAAACTGATGGAAATCCTAGAAGATATATTTTATGGAAAACTTTCCAAATTGGATATGTAATCACGGTTTTAGATCTCTAGTATTTTAATAGATTCTCTATTATTTTCTTAGACGTTTCTTACCTTAATTCGATGGGTTCTCTAGTATTTGACGAGACGTTTCCTACTTAGAATAGGTTTTATGAGATCCTGTATAAAGGGGGCTTATGTATTATCATTTCTCTTCTTCTCTTCCATTCCCCTTCTCCTATAATTCTACCATTTGATTTATCGCATCCTACGTCAATAACATGCAATCAAATAGTCAATCTGAGATAAAAATGCATTGGGCCAAAATAGATGCATATATAAATGTGACTATTTCTAGAATAATTAAAAGCAGAAGTGCAGAACTTGCGTGCTTTGTGTGTGCCCAAACAAGAAGAAATGCTAATTTCCACTTCAAGCGAGCTTTGAAGAATATTCAATTCAAAAAAACCTGCTTGCCCACAGGGAGTACTAACATATCTAGACATATTCTCCATCTCATATTTGTCAAAATCCCCAAATGCTGCCTGCTGCAACTCTATCAAGTAGAACACAGAACTACTTTTTCCGTTTTGTTTGGATGGTTTTGTGGAGTCGAGTCAAGACAATACCCAGACCATTGAGAAATCAATTTTTCGTGGTTATCATAATCTTGCTCAAGATAAAACCACCCCACTTTATTGATTCCACCCAAATCCTCTTCGCCGTCTATTACTTTTTTTCATTTTTTTTTTTTCATGATAAAGGTTTTGGTAAATCCTAAAAAAATTCTCATAGCCCAATGTTAGTTCATATTTTGTACTAAGAGCTTGCTGTGAGGGATTTTAATCCAATTAAAATTGAAAATATAGCCGTTATTGGGTCTCACTCGTTTAATAAAAGTCAACAATAACGACTAGTTTTTCAATTTTGATCCGATTTTAATCCCTCCCAAACAAGCTCTAAATAAATCTTCCCCAAACTTATTCTACATCAATAACCATACAAATTGGTCATAGAAAATGCTTCAACCTCGCCTCGCCTTCATTAGATCAATATAATATATTGGAGAATTATATTTAAACCAAAGTATTTAATCACTCAGTTACTCAACCAATCATTGTTGACTTACAAGCACATTAATAAAAACTAACCTTCGTAAGCGTCGAGGATCCTGTCGAAAAGAGGGAGGTAAAGCAATTATTGGGGAAGGCCCGCTCAACTGGGGCCCTGACCTCCCATTTCTACCACCTTCGAACGGGGAAGGGCCTCCCTGGTCTCGCAACATTCGCATTGCAACTTCAGGAGGAGCCGGAACAAAAGGACCCAATGGTCTGAAAACCATCATTGCGAAGATAAGCAATAACAGTAGATAATATGAACTGTGGATAATGCCATAACAATTATTGACACAACCAAATTACTCAAAACGATTGAACTTACCCAGCACCAGGAACAGGCATCAGTACAGGAGGAGGTATATCTGATGGGAAAGAAGCAACATGTATGCCTTGGCTGGGGAAAGTATCAAACATTGGTTCATCGGGATTGTTTCCAGGTGCACCATCATTGTTGGATGGGAAATCCCCTAACTGTGGGTTTTCAGACCCATCAAATCTTTCACCTCCATTGGCGCGATTATCACGTTCTCTAAGGTTTCCTCTTTCATCCTTTCCTCGGTTGTCAGGACCAGGCCTCCGTCTCTGTGGCTTCTCCTTCTACAAAAGGAATATGTATCATTAATATAAATAATACAAATATTCGAAGGATGGAAAAATATTAACATATAACTTATACCGGTACAGATTGCTGCATGACAGGTGTCCCTCCAGGAGCATTTTCATCACTGCCACAAGTAATAGTTATTGACCTTGTAACAATAACATAACATAAAAAATAAAAAATAATTTAGACACGGTGCTTACCTCATGTAGTTCTGGAAATACAACTCTTCACGGACTTTTGAAGTCAGTTCCATCACAAGGTCTGGGTGTTTCAACTTCAAATGTTTGTGGACAAACTCGGAAGCATGGAAGAGTTTTGTACAACCTTTTGCTCCACAGCCATACTTCCATCCATACTTCTCATCCCTAATTTTGCGGACATGAGGTTCCAAGGCTTCAGCGGCGGCGGCATCTATCTTTTCCTTCGCAGTCATTACTTCCAGGGGATCCAAACCCTTCAGCCTCTCTTGCCAACAAAAATCTAGTTTCTTCTCCCACTCCATCCCATTACTAGTTGCATCAGTATTCTTGCCATCCGCTCTAACGTGCCGGAGACCTTTAGCTTCATTTGTTTCAATCAGCCCATAATAATCCACCCCATGAATGCGCCAGAGATATGTAAGAAGTGTGTCGAGTAGCTCAATCCCTTCAAGACCTTTGACTGAGCTCAAACCTCGTATGATAATTACTGGGCCACTTGAACCACCATGAGACTTATCTCTACCCATTCTATCACTATCAACACGGCATAGTACATTATCTTCAATTCCTTTCTCCAAATCAAGTTTCCGAACAAGAGCCTGCGCTTGTTCAATGTCAATCTGGATTCGTCTGGGCTCAGAACTAACAGGATGAGCCTTTGGGGTAGCTGAAAGATCAAAATCTTTGGTCACCCCCCGACCAGGCCGCCTTCTTTTGCCACCTATGTCTGCTTCATCAGCAGAATGAGGATCACTAGACTGTTCCAATTTGTTCGAAGATGAGGGACTAACACTGGGACCTCTGTTTACAAACAGAAAACTTCTCAACATAACATACTTAAAATAGGAAGCATAGAACAAGCACATAGACTGAAGGAATATAAGATCAGATCGTACAAATCCAGTGTCCCACTCTGCAGATCAAGCTGAAACTCCTTAGCCAACTTCTGTGCAATCTCATTCCTCCTGCAAAGATCATACACGAGATTTTTCAATACAATCAGAATATAAATCATGAAATAACTTTATTAAGCAATGGACATTCAGCAGACAGTTCGGATAGTTCTAATTGCATGAAGCCTAACAGCAAACTTCAACCTATTAAACATTATGCGCACCTTTCTATGACAGCAAGCAAGTTTGTTGGATGATACTTATCTTTTAACCTGAAAATATAAAATAATTCCCATCAGAAAGACAAGCATGGGAAGCATTGTACAAGATGAAAAGGATGAAATGCACCATTACCATTCTTCATCTTTATGTGCATCAAAATAAGCTCTTTTCTGAGTCGATATATATTCTGACTTGTATTCTTGATACCTGATGATGATCGACTCATTATCCACATATCCCAAGAAAAAAAAAAGTAAACTAGCACACAAAATAGAGTCAGGAATAGACAAACATTACTTTATAGGGAGTTAATTAAGTTAGATTAAACATCTATAACTCTTAAGACATTCCCATTCTGACCTGAGCTCTGCTTCAGATGGCAAAACATCATCCTCAAGCTCTTGAATGAACTGCTTATAAGACATCATTCCTTCCCTGAAAATAAATAAACAATGTCACATTATTATCTAACTTAAGCTATAATAATGTAATTTAAAAAATGTTCGAAAAATTTCCACTTGAATTCGCATTCCCGTGCATGAAGTTCGAAACAAGGAGACAAATCTTGGTACGGGCAACAGAATATGAAAATTCACCATGCTTCACCAGGACTATCTTAGCACTTCTATATTTTACTTCTCCATTATTGACTATGTTGCTCAGACTCTCCATTTTAGAGGAAGTGTCCTTGTCGGACAAATGACAAGGATAAGGGATGGGTTCCTTCTCGGATCCTTTAAACCAAAACAGGATCCTTTATATCGTTTTTTTTTTAATTGTTATTTTGGTATTGTATTTAAAATCATTTCTAATTTGTATTTTACATTTCTAGAATTGAAATGAAATTCAAATGCAGTATCACAATTGCAATTTAATTTGTTATAGATTAACAATTAAAAATAACATATATATCCCTACAAAAGCATCTAATATTATCAGTATATAAATTTTTAAGTAATTGTAAGTTTATAAGAGGTATCCACGTACTAGTGTCCAAATTTTGGGTTGTTTTTAGCTGTGTTCCCATATCCTAGATCTTAGGGGGAAAATGAAAGATCCCATGTGCCCATATCATACACCCACACCTAAGTCCAAGCAATACAGATTATTGACATTCCATTATCAGATATTAAGAAAGGCTATATGTAATTCCTAACCGCAACTGGACAAGAAGATGCCCAAGGCACACTTAAATCAATTTATTTAATGATCCATTAAACTTATCTTTCCATCTTCTCATAACGAAACCAATAGGGACACATACTCAAGGGCAAGTTACCTTAACAAAGTAGCTATAAAGTTTAATACATGTTAATAATCAAGCAGACACGTGTGCCATGCATGTCCACACAACACAGACATGTAGAAAAAGAGAGGAGGAAAATGGAAAACCGTAATAATCAACCTTCCTTTTGAGGCAAAACTTTGCGAAGTTTTAGTTTAGAACTATTTTTTTAATTAAAAACATAAATAAAAATCCGTCAAGGAGATATCAAAGTTATAAGGGTAGGCAAATATAGCATGGTTGTTCTCATTAAGAAGCAGAACATCATTCCTAGAGGTAGGCCATGTCCAACAAATTTCAAAATTATTCCTAAAACTCCGCAAATTTTTAAAAACGTTTTCTGTTTAATCCTTGACAAGATTAAATCATCCTGACCAATGTCAAAATTACTTCTTTGGCTAATACAAAATATCTTCCATGACTACTGTGATCATCCTTCCTTCCATTGGGCAAAAACAATAGTGCCCAATCATCCTGATCAACGTCAAAATTACTAGTTTGGATAATATAAAATATCTTCCATGACTACTGTGATCATCCTTCCTTCCATTGGGCAAAAACAATAGTGCTCGTTGTGCATATACCCAAGTCACTTGCCTCCTTAGAAAATCCGGGTATCAAATCTCTGATCAAGTCTCAAAATCCCACCTCTCTTCTTCCCATTCTTTTTCTTTTGCCAGGATCTTTAAGTTTTATCTGGCAAATCTTTTCTTCCAATTTGGCCATCTAAATTAATTGTCGAAACTGATAAATCAACATATCCATATCCATATCCATCAAAGCAGGGAGAAAGTCATAACATCTGAAATTCAATTAATTAATGCCACCTCAACGGCTCAACCACAATGAATCGAGAATCAATAGAGTGTTTAACTAGGAGTCATTCTATTGGGCAACAGATTCCAACTCATTGCTTGTTAAATCTTATAGTTTTGCCTGATATGCTAATTTTGCCATGACAAAATACTACATCCACAAATATGTTTCCCTAAATTTCACTAGTGAACATATATGGCAGAAGAAGCACCTGATAGTAACAATACATATTAGGAAGCAAAAGACATAATGGAAATTTGTATTGCTCATGGTTTAAAAAGGCGGTAGTGAGGCGCGCCTTGAGGCTTGCCTCACTGTGAGGAGCATTTAGTATGCCTCGAGGCAGTATTTTTTAGACTACAAATATGAGACTCATGCCTCTAAATCTGAGGTGCACGCCTCAAGGGTCGCGCCTCATTTAAAATTTGATTTTTCAATTGTATGAAAGTAAATCAGAAAGGGCTCTTCTTAAAAAAGAAAAAAGCCCATTTAAAAAGGCATTTTGTGCCCCTAAACAAAAAAATAAAATACCTAAAAAATTAAACGGCAGCCAGAATAGAGGACTAAAAAGGGAACAGATTCAACAAAAATTCAAAAGTCAGAATTCAAGAAGAGTATCGTCTTTTTCNCTATTTACTAAATGCTCTAACTTTGATTTTTTTTTTTGTATTTTTATATTATTTTATAATTCTTTTACTGAGATTTTTTGTTTTTTGTGAGGCTTACACCTCGCCTCATAAGGAAAAACCGTCTCAGTACTTAGTTTTGCCTTTTTAAACCCTAGTAATGCTAATGAAGATCAATTACAAAGTTTGATGACCATTCTAGAGGCCCATCTCTCTCCCAATTTCAAGCCCAAATTTCTGCCTAACTAAAATGAAACTACCCTCCCCTTATTTATAGATAAAGAGCCTATACAGTTTATTGTATTAAATCCTCTTAATACCCCCATCCCCTAGAACATGAACTTGCAGGTACCTATAAATAACCCGTCCTCTGAAAGTCTGAGCCACTTGCAGAATTTAGAAAGTTAATCCGAACAATTTCATATGCAAGAACCCAAGCTATGGTCAAATGGAAAATGGATGTTTTGGTCCGACAAATCGTGTGAACCTAATCAATCGGTCGAAAAAATTAGCATGGTATCCATTATCCAAAAGAACCCCATAGCCAGTTGCACCCACCCACGAAATTCCCAAATTATGAACTACACCATAAAATTGTAAGTTGTCCAGCAATCGAACAGCTCCACCCAAACTACCACCTCCTGCTGAGCAATTGCTTTGCCACTCGTCATGGCTTTCAGAAATATCAAATTGACCCTCACATTAGTGGAGACCTTAATAGTGTAAGCCATCTTTTCCATTTCTTCCATGCCTAACTCCTCCCAATCATCATCTACCACTGATACTCCTAGTGATTTATTTTTACAGTGATGCCTAACAGAATTTTTCCAATCACATCTAAAAAAGATGCCCTCCTCAGTTTTTAGTCTAATTGTTGCATCCGTCAGACATTTAATTTGCAAATAGCTTGGCAAATCGGAGCTGATGCAATTTTTTTGGGCAACTGGAAGTGGTCTTGGGCCAATATAAGAGGTAGATCTATTTCCTCAGGTCGGGTATTTGTTACTAGAATGATTGGGATTTTTTAAGCAAAACAGGCAGGCAAGTTGCGCTTGCTCCATGGGTCGCAGCCCGCATTTCTCGGATATAATGTCTATGCCAAACCTTCCAACTTCAGTGCACCCAATTCCACCTTCAATTTATTAGATCTCAATTCGGCGAGGATGATTATTTGCTCCTGCTGAAGGGCCAAAAATATTTTAGTAATCATGACATCTATAGATGGTCAGAATCATTCCAGCAATAATTTCTTCAATTCGCCCCAATTTCATATAGGTTGGCATAGATCTGCCCATAATTAAAAAAAAAGGCGATAGGCTTTCCATAGAAGCTTATCTCTGCTGCCTACAATTTCTCTGGATATCGTACTGCCATGGAGACCGACCTATCAGGATTTTCTCCATCGAACCGAAGAATTTTCTGCATCTCCTTCTCTGTTCGATCAGATTCACAAGTGTCTTGTCCATCGTTCTTCTGTGGCGTACTCTTGATTCTTTTTCCATGGTCAATAATTTTTCGAACATCGACTCTACCTTCTAGTTTATCCATCCCAATACCAAGCCCAAACTTTCCTCCATTTTGTCGTGGCCAATTGCCATAGAATCGATACTCTGATACCAAATGATAGGTACCAACACAGATTAGGAAGCAAAAGAACAGAAAGTGAAGCTGTATTGCTAAATGAAGATGAATTGCAAAGTCCGATGAGCAATCAAGAGGCCCATCTCTCTCACAATTTCAAACCCCAATTTCTGCCCAACTAAAATGAAAAGCCCATAATATAAATAATTGTATTAAATCCCTTTAATACCCACATCCCTAGAACATGAACTTTTGCGGATACCTATCAGGGTTCATTTTTCAGAAGATTCTCATCATCCTTATAGCATTCATAAGTTCACAAGCTAGTAAGTTGTACAAGCAGAAATTTTTACCACCAACAGGGCGCCACTCAGTTGAAAACCCCAATTTTCATACATCTTGTTTACAGTAAAGGCATATTAACAGAAGGTGACCCTGAGTAAAATGAGAATTTTCTGCCATAACTCGATTTTGAATGGGTAAAGGTTACCTCTGAGTGCTCCCAGTGACGAAAGCATCACCAAAGCCACCACGACCAGAATCCCAATCTGCAGAAAAAGGACAACTTAAGTGTTTCTATACTACAAGCTCATGAAAAGTCATACGAGATTTGCAAGCTAACAGTGCTGAAGAAGCAAGTCAAAGATCAATAGCAATCTTGATTGCTATTGGAAAACTTAAACATATTGCCCATAAAAAAGTTAATAGAAGAGAAAAACATCAGAAAAGCTACTAAATCAGCATTTATGTAAAATCTTAACAGCATAAGGTAAAGAGACAACACCATAAGCTAGAAAGCAACCAGTTCCTACACCCAAAAAATGGAAAATAAAGCCACTAATGAGAATAAATTGTAATGCTAGCCACAGATGATCGTGATATATTTTTCTTTTCTCAAAAAATTATCAAGAAGGCTATTATTGCAGGAAAAATTATCTCTTTTGTCTCTAGACTGAGTTCTTTACCATTCTTTGGCTTCTTTTTCGTTAAAGTTTTGATAAGTTATCATTTGTGAGATATTCAGTATTCAAGCATAGTTTTCATATTCACAGAAGCTCCAAACAAGATTAATGTTTCACCGATTTTTTTTTTTAAGCTGTAGTAGGCAGCTTAACCAGTAAGAAAGAAAAGTTGGAAAAGTTGCAGTCATGATATTCTCTCCCCAGTCATATAGCGACTCTACAAATGAAAAAACGGAATCTCTCAAATATCAAACTGCAGATTCTAAGGGATAATCTTTTCCCCTTCTTTCTAGTTCCTCTCTTCTTTTACTTGTCATCTTTGGATAAATTCTTTAGCAAGAGACACACACAGAAATACTGACAAGGCCAAAAACATTCCGAAACGAATACAGGCACTCGTGCTTCCGTTTTTGCTTCATGCAATTGAAAGATTTGAAGGACTATGAACTTTTCCCTTTCATTCACCTGTGATCCTAAGTGAATTTTATAGAGACGTATCTCATATCTGAACATGTTTAAGTAAGGAAAAGGTGAAGTGCATAAAGCAACTTAATTTTACCTATCTATTACATCACTTCAATAAATATTACCTGAAAAAACAGTAAACCGGTGTAATAATTTTGAATCAAAATAAGTCATAATCATTGGCAAGCTTGACCATAATAAGTCTTTCGAGGAGACAAATTTCAACCAGACTGACTTCTAGCAGAATTCATTGTGTATCACTCACGATATACGAATTCTAGCGAATACACATAGTCAATGACTAAGAGATTTTCTTTTTCAGGTGTAATGACTTCTATTTTGTTTAATTTATAGGCGTCAAAGAGATGGGCAAAACGCAAGTGAAATGAAGACATGGATATTCTCAACAAGATTAGTTACTTGTTGAGAATTTTGCTTACAGCTTGTTGGAAGTGATTTTTTAAAATCACTTTTTCTCTAACTCATTTTCAAGCCCACAGTCTTGGTCCAAATAAATAAAATTTTGCACGTGGACCCATAACTTTTCGCTCTTTTTTAACCACACATTCATTAAAAAAAAAAAAATCAATTTTCACAAAACCACTTCACAGGAAATCAACATCAAACAAGGGCTTAATTTTTACTAATGTCCTACTAGTTTTGATAAATGAAGTCCCAACTAAATGGATGTGTTCAATGAGATATAAAAATGCAAAAGTTTAAGACAGGTGCCAACTAAATGGATGTGTTCTGACACGAGATGAGCACAAAGCATGCAAATGTGAAAAAAGTAATACAAAAAATGGTAATTTGAAAGCAAGGTCTAGCAATTACCAGATGGAGCTCCTTGATACCCACCTGATGACCGGCCCATGTATCGTCCATGAGGCCTTTCATCAAGATATCCCTGCCTACCTCCCATCTCGCGATCATAGCCACCAGGATAATCATATCCGAACCTGGAGAATAGAATGTGTATAGTGTTATCGTGAAGGGGGAGAATTAACTATTTATAATGACAATAAACATAACTACAGAATTGAAAAACATAAAAATTCACAGCACGTCCTGGAATTTTAAGAAAAATGGGATGCACTTATCATCTAACATGCATGATTAAGTTAGGAAAAAGAAAGAAAAAAAGCATAAATACTCCTGACAACCTATAGCAATTAGCAAAGTTCAGGAAAACCAAAATCAGTCTCACTATTTGATAAACAATTAGCATCATTTTTTAATAAATCAAATCCAGTGACGCACGCAATAGGGACACATAAATTGGCAATAACATTGAAGTTGTACTAGCCTACTAGGATCCAACTAACATGGGAGGAGACTCTCTAGAAATGCCTCTGTAGCCCTGGATGAAATTGGCCTCATAAAAATTTCCGCTTCATTAGATATGCCCTGGAACAAATTTCTACTTCATTAATTGGCCCAAAAAAATTATCCCACCCAAATCTCAAATTCCCCCGTACTTCACCTCCACCTTCTCACACTTGACCTTCAATTCAACCTCCTAAAGCCATTTTCAAGTTCGGGTACGAATATTTGATTTGAAATCTCATCATCGATCCTCATCTGTACTTGATGCATAATGGTCTCCATTTTTCTCGTTTAAATGTTCATATTTTTCTTGATTCTCGAACTCTTAAACTGGTGATCCTACAAGTGAGGGAATTTGATTATTGATATATTTTCTTGATTTTCTTGATAGTTTTACATTTTGTAAAATGAGAATTCTGTTAGGATTTTTGAGTTCTTGATGATTTAGCTGTAGAATCGATATAATTTTAGCCCAGCCCCTGCCACCTAACATAAATAACCCACATAGACAAGTTTGTTGTACAAACACACCTAATAAGGCATATGCACTTGTGCTTTTAAGTGTTTAGCTGTGGATGTGCATTATAAGTGGATAGTAATTTGAGGTTCTACAAAAGTGTACATAAGTATTTTTGATGAGCTTTGCCAAACATGCTTATAATTAGTGCCGTCGTTTATAGAAATTTTCCCGAAAACCCAGTTATTAATTCCTCTAGCAACTAAAGACACTCAGCACATTATTAACGAAGCCCTGGTCAGTACTCATTTAAAAGTGGTGCATAATCAGGTAAACTTAAATGACAAGTTTTGAAATGTGTGGAAGAATGAAATTAGGAAACTAACCTACGATTCCCGGGTCCATACCCTCTTCCCCTAGGACTCCACCTCCTTCCATCAAATCCATCATCTCTCCTCGATCTTTTATAAGGCGGAAATGGAGGCGATCGTCTAGAAGGAGGTGAGTGCACTCCACCTCCTCGTCTGTCTCGATAAGGTGGGGGAGGAGGACTAGGGCTCCTCCCCCGCTTATGATAATCCCTCGTACGCGGGGGTGGGGATCGATTGCGGTCATAGTAGTCACGGCGAGGCGGCCGATCAATGTCCCTATCGTCTCTCCGCTCCCTAGAGTCCCGTTCTCGGCGGCGCGGAGGAGGGGGCGGGGGCGATGTGGCATCTAGTTCGGCATCAGTGGCTGCATTGACAGAGGATTTTTCGTTGTTGTTGAGGTCTCCACGCCGATCGATGTCCTCGGCGGAGTCGGACAGTGCTTCAGCCATCAGTGAAGACCGGTGGTGGACGAGCGAGGAGTTATTTTCAGATTTGAGGGTTTTGGAGTTCACAGTAAAAGCGAAAAGACTAAGAAATGACGTGATTGATGGAGTGCAAAGAACTTAAATCCAGTGGCTACTTAGAAGCGTGAAGTTCGATGAGTCGCGACGAAATGCAAAGTTCACTGGTCATCGATTAACACCAGAATTTATATTAATTAATTTTGTAAATTATTTTTTATTCACTACGTACAAATAGCAAAATTCTTTTTTTATAAACAAACCCGCATTTTAATAACGTCAAAACTCATTTCATTATTCACTGTTACCTAACAAATTCTTCTCCTTATCTTTATATTAATTAACAAATTTTATCCTTACGATTTTAATTAACAAATTTTATCTCAATAAAGTAGAAAGCGACACACAAATTTATAATAATAATTAAAAAAAAAAAAATGGAAACGTGACATTTGCCAATAAATTTATTTTTATCGAAATTCTTATGCACCAATATGGTTCAAAAATAAAAAGAAAAATACATATGTGGCTTATTGGACCTTCGACTCTACTTAATGTCACCTGATAACACATGGGAAAGTGAAGACACGGCAGATATGTTAACTTTAAGGTCGACGAATTTTTGAGGTCAACAAATACTAATCTCAAAATTAGACTATATGTTTGAACTCTAGACTAATCAAATTATCCATTTAAACCTTTTAAACTCCAATATTATATCGAGTCTTAAGATTCTACCGAAAAAATAAACCTTGTTCAAAGGAATAATCTAAATGACATGAAACACATGAACATTTAAATAGAAACATGGGAAAATATGACAAATAAAGTCAATTGAATCCAATGTTTAATTAGTACATAAGAACTAGTTTTTGCATATGAGTAATGATATTCATCTCCACTGATGTTGAGACTCAATCTATGTGGCAATTATATGACATTAAATGATAAATTCATTTAAATACAATGTCACATGACTCATTTAATTGAGTCTATCATTTAATGTCAAGTAATTGCCACATAAAATTGGTCTCAACCCCAGCGGGAAGAATAACATTATTCTTTGCATATTGTTCTAAGAATGGATAAGGTATCCACATCAGATTAATGGAGATTGGAGCAATTGACTTGAGAATCTGAGATAGTGAAAGTGAAAGTAGAACAGTAATACAAGTAATTTCCATTATAAACAAAACCATTTCTGCCCTCATTTTTCCCTAAGCAAAAACTTCAAGTTTGCACAATATTAGATGCATAATAAAAGAACAAATTCAATCTCTTACTTAAACTAACTTGTAACTTGCTATTCACTTAGAAGATTATGTCCCTATTTGGTTTAGATAAAAATCAGATTAATAAATTTTAATAAAAGTAGAGAAAACGTGTGGTTGAAAAGTTGTAGATCATATGAAATATATGGTTAAAAGTAATTTATACTTCACACCAATTATAGACAACTCCCATACATGCTTTAAGTTTTAATTACCTTTAATTAATTAAAATTATAAATAAATTGAATCTTGCTCCATGTGCATCAAAATTTATGTAAAAAATTACATAATGTCACATGACACTTTACTATTTATCAATTTAAAACACAATCAATTTTTCGTTTAATCTTTTCCCTCCATATCATTTTTGGTAACCGCTTATGTACCTTTTTTTATGGACAAATAGCAAAATCCAAATAAGTTACTCATTTTCATGCACATCGCATTCTCTTCTATTTTGATTGTGTTATTCGAAAACCAAAAAGCCATGCGTACATGCTTTTGTTCACAAAATCTTTACCAACGAAGCACCTGATTGGCATTTTTTTTTTTTTTTTGGCTAACTGCTAATGAAAAAATGACAACTGCATATCTGTAAAGAATCCGTGAAAGAAACCCGGTAAATGTAGCATCATTAATTTTAAAAATGGAAAAACACGAGCAAAGGTTCATCATGCACGCAATTCCAGGGTAATGAATGCATAAAGTCGTTTCTAAATTATATTATACAGAGTTATTTTTACTAGGATGCTTTTAAGAAAATTTTGTGCTTCTTAATATGCAAGAATTTTAAATTTTTTTACGCAATGGAATTATGTAAACATTAATCTCTCTTTTTATGATTAACTCATGTCTGGATAATTTTTAAAATAAGTAACAAAAAAATTAAACGTGTTCAAATATATTACCTTTTTTTCATACTTTAAAGTAAAAAATAAAATAAAAAAAATACTTACATTAAGTAATTACTTATTTTCAACTTTGATAAATAAAAAAAACTATTTATTTCAAACTAAGTAATTTGATGAAAATTCATTTACGTTTTTATATAACGAATCAAATAGAAATGATTTTCAAGAAATATTATTCTAACTTTTGGAAATGAAAAGCACCGTCTTATTTTAGATAATTCTCCAAATTTTAGAAGTGTACTTCCTGCACATAAGTTAGAAGTTATATACAATGAAAACCAACGATGGACAATAACTCCCTCAACACAGCTTACAACTTTCCTCACTGGGCGTTCTTAACCTCCAACGAGTAATAGAGCCTTAACTTGAAAAAATGGACACACCGGTGGCTGCTTGGCTTCCAAGGACAGAAGGCCAAGGTGTAGCTCATCTTCAATACAGCCACTATGGTTTCACCGGAGAGCTTGCTCATACATGGATGACTGACGATCAGCTTCCTATGAATGTTGGCAGTCCACATTATAATCCTCTTTTTCCATTTGGTTATGGTCTTAACACGACAAGGATGAGTCGTATAATTATCTTGTATTACTTCTCATTTCGAAGGCACCAAATCTCCATCAAAGACCTGCAAAACAAGGATTTGACACTTGATTCATAAACTTGAAAATGAGTATGGAGCAAGGACTTGTGTGCAAGAACCCCACATAAAACACAAGGATATAAAATTTTAGCCCATATAAGTTGGATTCGGAACTTAAACTTCCAACATGAAGTGCTACCATCAACCATTTGTGTAATACAAACCCCTGACAGCAGATCAAGAAAGATAAAAGATGAATCTAATACAAAGAAATGCAAATAGCAATGATGGAACGCAAAAATGTGCATGAATCTGCAGATTTAGTAAATAGTTAACCTAACTGGATGTAGCAGGAAATAATGTCTTATTCACAGGAAGAATGGAAACTCAATGTCATTTTTGACAGAGATGAAGAGCCCATTGCTGGTCAGATCAGCTTCTGCAAGTGTCATTCCCCCATCAGGAGCATATTATTCATTTTATGCATATTTTGTTTCTTAGTGCACATACCATTATGCTACTAATCCAGCATGTGCATTGTTTAGGGGATTTGAAAACAAAAACAGATCGAATTCATTGAAAGTCAAACAAAAAATCAAATATACTTATCAAGAAAAAACTAATAATTAGAGTTTTACAGGACAGCAACATTTATCACTGCAAGAATGTTCTTCGAGGCTCTTAGCATAATCCTGTTGAATGATGTTTCTCATTTTGCTGGAAGATCCTAATCAGAAAACGTTCAGATTTGCCAAGAACAAGAAATAACTGTTTATATCCTAAAGAAAGGGAAGTTCCTTCAACACGTTAAACCAAAAATCAGAAAGCAGTAACATTTGCCAAGGAGATGGGAAAACGGTTTATTTTCTAAAGGAACAGAATGGATGCAAAACAAGGCTGCAAAAAGTCTCCATAAAAGTTCGTTTACTTTGAGATTCAGTAGGCTAGACCATGCAAATTCATGAGGTAAATTTTCAAAATTAATAAGACAATATGGTCCATGCTTCAGAATGAAACAATTGTGAGAATTGAACAAGGAAATTAAGCACCTGCTTGGTCCCCATTTTTAAAACTCATTTTTCCTCAAACTCACTTTCAACCACACATTTTATAGAATCCACAACTTTTCAACCACACATTTCATCAACTTAATCAAAATTTACTAAAAATCTGATTTTTAACCAAATGAAACAGGGGATAAGTTTCATTTCTCAGAGGCGAGGCATTTTTTCTTCATAATTAGAAGATAATATGGTATCAGTAATGAGCAGTTAATGTTTATACAATAAATTTGTAATATTTCTCGACTACACTAGACTCAAAACTTATCTATATCACTACTGGAAGCAGACTCATGAAAACTCAGATCTATTTATGCCTCAAACTTATAAGAAGATGAACAACATAAATCTTCAAAATCTGTTAGGAAAGCCAGGCATCGATGTATCCTGTAGCAAGTTCTTATCAAAATACTCAACTATATCTAGAATATGAACGTGACAAATCCAAAGAACAAAAATTTTGGAGGAAAAAGTAATTTCACCAAAAAAAGGAAATATCTTTGGCAGTGTGAAGCTGTTAAATGTATAACACAGGATTGGAACAAATCAAACAAGAATATTTTATTTGAAGACAAGGATCCATGGTAATGCAGACTGTCAAAGAATTTTTAGTCTTCGTGAAAGTAAAATTATCTACCTCTAGAATAACAGGATGTAGCTCTTTAAATGCATCCTTGCTGATTTCTGGTGTTGAACACAAACTACTTTCTAAGTTTCAAGTCAAATTTCCTCAACGGATCAACTTGTTCCTCTCACTCGATATCCCATCGATCAATTCACATCCATCCTTAGGCTTTCAATTCAACTTAAGTCTCTCATATGATGAAAGTTTTGAGTTCGAATTCTACGGGACGCGACGAAAGCCGTGAGGGGTAAGATGAGTCTAGGCTCTCATAAAGCAGACAGTACGTATGATATGATAACGGCTCTGACGCGAGGTCGGATCGTTACAAAAAAACGCGCACACATGCAAAGTTTGACCTAGCTACGAAGGCTGCAGAGATAAAAGAGTTAGTAGCTCCAGAGTCAAAAAGTACATAAGCAGTTACATCAGATAATAACAGAATCCCTGTTTTCAAATTCATAGTGTTAGACGTAGTGCCCATGGGACAAAGATAATACAATGTGTGGTATTAGTTAAAAAGAGCATAAGCAGGTACGA